TATATATATATATATTGCATATAACTTTTCTCAAAATAATTATATTTGTGATTCATTGAATTTACCATAATTTTCGAGTTCGAAGACCGCTCGAGGCGCTTCCCTCGTGAGTAAATGTATAGCATCCTGATCTCCTAGCCAATCGGATCCCTTCACAGTATCATACATATGATACAGCCAATTATCTTTTTGGTCGATGATAGCAGCATTTATGCCACCCTGGGCAGCCACGGTATGTGACCTAATCGGAAAGAGTTTTGATACTACTGCTACACGATATCCTTTTTTACCAAGTCCAAAAGCCGCCCTCAATCCAGCGCCTCCTGCTCCTACTATTACTACATCATAGCAGTGATCTATCACAGGATAATTCTGTAAATTAGGAACGTGAATAATATTGAGCAATTAAAGTAAATATACTAATTAAAGAATTTAGAATAGCCTGTTATCCAAATGCGCTAAAAGATCAAATATATTAAGAAAATATTTCATTTATAATAAAAAAAGAGATACAGGATTAATACATTTGTTTTTAAAAATAAATTTGCGTATTTCAGGAAAATGTAAATAGAATAGATAATGTGACTTATAAATTATAAAAATAATTTACGTAATGATATATAGAAAAAGAGAGTAAAAGTTTATTTTTCGTTTTAATTTTTTGTAAAATGTTTAATTATCTATAAAGATTTTTATTAAATAATTTTAATAAAATCTACTTACATTATCGCTTTCTTCTACGCCGCACTTTGCTTTTTCCCCTGGACTAACATTTACGTGAAAGTTTTGCGAATTTATAATTGTTGCACGAGATTGTCTCACGAATTTCTAGAAAAAAAATTACTATTGACTTCAAATTAATCAATAACATACAATTAGTATCAGTATAAAATCTTACTAATATTCCGCTCGTTTGTATTAGTCGACTGACCGATCGATGTAGCATCTTTGTAAATATTTATTAGGTTCGAATGCTCTTTAACAGCTGTCATAATTAATAAAGCTCTTTCAGCTTCATTTGTCAGATAATAAAACAAATGAAAAAAATTTAAATATTTTTACCGTACAAATTCATCATACGCATGTAATTATTTTTATAAATAATTTTCTGGCGTAAAGGAAGGCTTTAAGGAAAGATAAAAAGGATTGCAGTTAAGGATTGCAGTTCAAAGTTTCCTTTAAAAAAACTCGTGGAACTGGATTTATTGAATTTGTATAAGTTGCAATTTATTGCACTTGTAAAAATACAGTTTAGAGCGTACATAATTTATGTCTATCGCATATAATTAATTCAAAATGTATCTAAGTTAGACGTCAAATCGGTTTTGTCAAACGCTTATCGCATTGTTACTCTTTGGTATACGTTACGAACACCAAAGAGCTAACGTACTTGACGAATCATTCTTGTTAGAATCATTACAGTAATCTTTAATTAGCACGGTTTGTAAAATTTTATTAATCTATTTTTTCAATCTATTTTATTCAGAACATTGAAAAAATAGTTCCTTATTTCTTTTCAATATTTAAAAAAATAGAATGTATGATGAAATTTATAAAAAGTGATAGATCGACAATTCTTGAATTTAAAATCCTTTGCCAGTGAAAATTCAAGGATTTCTATTTTTATTTTGTTTATCTTAAGACACGTTTACCAAGTTCTGTATATTTTCTTTTACTATAGATTCAAAATAAATTCTTTACATTTTCTTTACATTCTATATATTAATTCGTATTTTGAACATATTTGTAATAAATAATCTTTTCTTATCGCATTAAAGAATAAATATGAAAGGCCATTACTTCGTAAAATATTTATGTGTGCGTTTCTATAATAGCACATATTTAATTTACATATAATTAATCTCCTTCCTTGCAAAACACGATTAAGTTTGCCTTTGTTAAGATTGATGATTTACCTCCTACACGTATTGCCATATCGACATTTTGCATTTCATTATTCGTTAGCGACACATATTCATTGAGCGAGCATTAATGCTTATATCGCACGACTCATCTAATCACTAGTGATTTTCTAATCTTATTTTATGTTCAACCTTGTTACATGATATTAGACATAAGAATCTTGTGAAGATTAGGCGAATTAAGTAAGTTGGTAGAAATCTTTTGGCGAAAATAAAAATTGAAGCGTAAGTCGAATGTAAGAAAGTAATAAAAGCGTAAAACGAAACTTTTAAGAGGAAAATTGAAATGTAAAACGCTTCTTTCATATTTCGTTGCCTTAATTTTTTTTTTGTTACTCTCCCCTTACATTTGACTTACATTTATATGCATTTATTTTCACCCGAATATGTTTTCGCAGAATTAAATATTTAAAATTAAAAATTGAGGAGTATCTTAATATCTAAGTCACTTAGAGAAGTATGTAAATAAAATGTCGAATATAAAACAAAAAGAAATTTACTTTAATATATTTTAATTCCAAATAACAATCTGTGTTTTTTAATTCGTGATTCGCCTCTCACTAGAGCTAAAATGGATTAAACTAAATATATAGTAATTTAAAAAATCATATTCACACTTTTATGAGATATATTAATATTGATTCTCCTATTTTTAACAGGAAATATACTTGCACGATTCTTTCCACTTGTATAAAAAGCTTATCAAAAAGTCGCACTCGTGAATTTATATAAAAGAGATAAACTTGGCGATCGCTCGGCGACTCTCGGTATATGTATGTATATATCATTTGTGACAAAAACGTTTATCAAATATATCACTAGACTATCCAAACATAGCGAATAAATCAACGCATTGTTTACAAAGCGAGCTAAAGTAAATTAAAAAAAATTCTTCTCCGGGTGAGATATAAAAATGCTGTTTCGTAAAAGTTACTCTCGAAATTCTAAAATTTATAAAAGCCATTTGAATTGTGTAGTGCTCTATATATTATCGTGATAAGGCAGTATAATACATCGCCATATCAGAGAATATTTTTAAAATGGACTCGATCTTGCAAAATATTTTTGAAATTCTAAATTCTAGCGTATCTTCTCTTCAGAAAATATATTCTCGAGAAAATCTTTTTTAAAATAAAAAAATTAGAATGCACACTTTCATCCAGAGAATATCTATCTGGTCATATTTTTTTCTTCAGTTCGAATATCAAAATACAATATGATAGCAACGACTCTCGAAAAACAATGTTTTCACAACGCAAGCCTTTTAACGCCACACTCGCAGCAAAACTTGGCGGTTTCTGGAAATCGTTGACCACATTCGTGACAGAACTTGGACATCTTGCACTTGGTCATCGTTTGAGTCGGTGATGTCCCGTTTTTGGGCACGTCCTCGTCGAGACGGTCGATCACGTCGTTGGCGCTGCGTCCATGATGCGAATATTTGCGATTTAAACTGGAGGGTACAAATCAAATTGAGTTTGAAGCAAGAACGCGAATATAAATGATTGATGATAATGATTAAAACTTATAATTATCAAAAAAACAAATGGCAGAATTTTTGGACTTGTAGAAATCTTCATATTTCATTAAATGAAATTTTCTCCATTAATATAAGATTAATTTCAGATAAAAATTAATAAAAATATTACTTAATAAATTTAGAAATAATAAATTTAATTTTCGTAAAAAAGAGTACTAAAATTTTTTTACAATAATTGTATTACTGTAATTCTAAGATTTATCTTTTATTTAATTGATAATTGATTAATCAATAAAGGCGAACGTGATGAAGTATATAAACAGTCACTTTAAAGTAGTTTTTACCAACCTGCTATAAGCGGAGTCATTGCTGAGCTTGCTGTGATCTTGCGGCTTGTAGTTGTCGGGAGAAGATAGTTCCTCGTCGCTGATCAGGCTGCCATTTCGTTGTCTGTCACCGCCAGGGCTGGACAGGTCGAAGGATTCATTATTGAGGAAGGATCTTAATCCGGGAAACGCATCCTCCTCGAAGGATGTCATCAATTCGTCAAACATCGAGCTCGATCGCTTGACATCCAGCTCCGAGGAGGAGATGATCGAATTGAGACTGAGGTTACTGCCAGTCAGGGACGAGTAATTATTGTTTCTTTGATTGAGACTCTGATCAGACGATCTCTGACTCTCAACGTTCTTGGAACCCTTTCTTATATTGTCTAAGGTCTTTCTGTCGGAGCCCGAATTGATTCTGGACGCAGACGAGGCTCGGATCGAGTTGGACCGATTGATTAATGATCCTGTATTCCTCAGCGTGTCTTTGTCAAAGATTTTACGCGGCCTATCCGCGCTGACGACGCTGCGACGCTCGTCGACGCCCAGTGCCTTCGATTTATCGATAATAACTCGTCTGCCCAATTCCCTAACAGGTTTTGAGGTCGCGGAATCTGTCGCATCTTTGCCCGTAAGATTGGGCTTCAGGAAGATCTCGCGCGAAATAGAATTGGTTTCGGTGGAGTCACTTGAAAAATTGGATAAAAGGTCATCAAATTCAGTAGGTGGCGCTATAAGGGACGATCTCTTGTCGGTAGGAGGATATTTTACAAAGGCGGAGGAGTGCGAGAGAGGATAAAGGGTATCACGAGTTTGCTGGACTTTGAGACTCCCCGTCATAGATTGATCACTCGTGTCCGACAGTAGGTCATTCATCTGCTGCTCGGCCAGCAGAAAGGGATCGTAGTCCTTGCAAATGCCGCTGAAATTAGAATTTGTTTAGTACAACCTTTGATTCTACTTCATTGCTAGAAACTTTCTTGCATAAAACGATGAATATGAACATAGTGAACAAACATAGTGCGCGTAATATATAATAGGTGATGACAGAGTATGTTTTGTCTATAAGTTTTCTATTGCAGATGAGTTATACGTGTGCCAATCGATCGATTCTTCAGACAAACGCATGCATGCAAGCTCGAACGCGCATAGTGCAACATTATCTATATTTGCTAGACATAAATAATTCTTTGAGAAATTTAGAATCAATTTCTTTTGAGTTATCAATTTCTCTTTAATAAAACGATTGCGAATCGCGGGAAATAAAAAGTAAAATAAATAGAACATTCTTATTTTAATGTAAAATCGATTTCATTATGTAATAAAATTTTAATTCAGGAG